TTCGAAAGCTGCCGTCTTCGCCTTCGTAACAGCTAACTTAGCTTCTGTCTTTGTCGTCTTATAGACTTTCTTAAGCGTCCGCTTCTCTTCCTCGTCTACGCACTCCGCCAATTTTATGTATGCAACCTTCTTCGCTTCCACTTTACCTTGGACTTCCCCATTCCACCACCAATCTCCTTTATGGCCTCCAAATTTACCCCTTGACACCCCTAACACCTTAGAAGCAACTTCCCTAATGCAACTAGCTGCTTTATTCCACATGCTGTCCGCATCCCCGCTACCACTCCAAGCCCCTATCCCCATCAGCTCCTCACCCATCTCCCGAGAAAGGGTAGGGGTCAACCCACCCCATTTAATCCTCGGTCGATCAGGTATCATCTTCCTCCTCCTATCCCTCTTAATCTTCGGTCCATCACCAAAAGCTTGTGTTGGGTAGTGAGGTTTTCACTTGGGATGACCTTGCAGTCCTTAAAGAGACCTCTATCACCCTTCCTAAGGAGTAAGTAATCTATCTGGGTCTTAGCTACCGGGCTACGAAAGGTAACCAAGTGGTTCTCCTTCTTCGGAAAGCATGAGTTAGCAATCACTAACTCAAAAGCCTTAGCAAAGTCTAGAAGCAAAGTTCCACCTCCATTTCTCTCCCCAAAACCAAAGCCTCCATGAACATCATCAAATCCACTAGAAGTTGCCCCGATGTGGCCATTAAAATCTCCACCAATGACAATCTTCTCGGTATTCGGTATACCTCTAACTACCTCATCCAAATCCTCATAAAAGCGCTTTTTGGCCTCCTCGTCCAAGCCCACTTGAGGGGCATAAGCACTAATAACACTCAAAGTACATCCTCCAATGACTAGCTTAATCGTCATCAGCCTATTATTGATCCTCCTAACCTCCACCACTTGCTCCCTCAAATCCCCGTTTACTAAAATACCCACTCCATTTCTATCCCTTGACCCTCCTAAGTACCACAACTTAAACCCATCAATATCCCGAGCCTTGGCGCCTACCCATCTAGTCTCTTGGATACAAGCTATATTTATCTTTCTCTTTTTGAGAATTTTCACTAGCTCTATGGACTTCCCCGTCAACGAACCTATGTTCCAAGATCCTACCCTCACGTTATGAGAACCTGTAACCCCCTTACCACTCTTATCCCTCGACCTCGGCCTCAACCGAGGACATGACTCACTACCACCATCAGATACCAAATCCACTAGAACGAAACTGCAATCACAGTAAGATCTACACAGGAATACACTAAAAACTGCAACAGTAGTACATAGTAAGGGGCAATATAACAACAACTACACTATATGGTCCAGTATAGTGTGTATTCTAGAGGACACGATAACACCCACTATATTATATACTGCAGCACAGGTCAGAACTATATTAGAAAACTGAAATACTGTTCCGGGATAAAGGATCTGCAAGAAAGAGCCTAGCAACGACTAGATTCAGAGCAAAAAAGAGAGAGAAAAAGGATAGATAGAATCTGGTCGGTGAAGATGGAGGGTTTCGGTGATCTATGGGTACTTTTCCGGCCAGATCTGGTTGATCTCCGGCGACACACAGTAGCACTGTCGTCTCTCTTCTGGACTGGTCGCCGGGGAAGATAGATGAGTTCGTCGGAGAAGCTGAAGAATGTTCTTACCTTCGCCGGGGTTTGCTGTTCGCCGCTCGCTGGTCCGAGCAGCTGGAGCTGCTGCTCGTTGTTATCATCCTCACTGGAGCTTAGGAGAAGATAGAGAAATAGGCTCGCAGGTCGGAGCTGGTCCTCGCGTTGCTTCTGGTCGGCGCAACCTTCGATTGTGGCCGAAAATACCAGAGAGAGAGAGAGAAAAGAGAGGAGAGGAGAGAGAAAAGTCAATGATCCATCTATATAACAGTCATGCACTGTTATAAAAATCTCAGACTATGTTCATTTGGTATTTTGAGCATATCGGGAGTTCTAGAGATCGGAATAGAGTGATTCTTACGGGTTTCTTCTTGAATTAATATGAGGGTTAGTATTCAATCTTCAATTTGATATTTTCTCATAATTTCTTTATCTGGTTTTTTTTCCTATCCGTAAATCTCTTGGGAAAAATTGGGGTTTTATCGATTTGGACTCCCTTTTTGATGAAAAAGGTATATTTACGATCCTTATGTTATGGGTAAACTGATTTTAACATAAAATTATTGATTCATCGATTAGTTTCATCATATTAACCGTGTACAATTTGGACTTTCCTGGTAAAGTTAAAGTTTGATAAATTGAGAATTTCAAGGTCAATCTTAACTCCGTTTTTGATGAAATTTCATATTTGAACTTATCTAAGCATGGGTAAGATGTTTTTCAAGAGATATTTCATTTTCAAGTCGGGGTTTCGGATCCGAATATTTTAGGCTTCTTCAAGAACGTGGATATTCCTTCAAATTGAGTTTGTGAATTGATTTCAACTCCGTTTTCAAATTGGTTTTCACCATTAGCTTCCAAATACTTTAAGAATCATTTTACATCAAAATTTTCCAGATTTGGGTATGGTTTTCCGGTATGAGACTTTTGGACCGTTTTACCCTTTTTCCCTAAATTTCTTGATTTTGGTGTCATTGGACTCGAATTGTGATTGTGAATAATTGTTTGAATAGATTATCGTGATCCGGATTATACTCGGAAAGAAAAGGCTCAAGTCAAGTAACTTTTGGAGTTCGTTTTAAGGCAAGTGGCTTCCAAACTTTGTAAAACTCTTAGACTACGCATGACTACTTTCCTAATTGTGTTGGGGAGTAATGGGGATTGAGGATGGGTTTTATTTGTTGATTGAAATTGTTGTAAATGAAAGATGGGGAATAAAACGAGCTAAAATGTGTTATATGTGACTTGAAATTGTTGAATAAGTCATGTGATAACTGATATTGAGGGGATAGAAGAGCATGAGTAGGTTATGATTGATACAGACATTGTGATTGAGATAGGTGATGAGTAATGCTCTGATGTGGTCGTGATATGGTTGCGATTGAGATAGGTGATGTGTAATACTATGATGTGGTCGTGATATGGTTGTGATTGAGACATGTGATGTGTAATACTATGATGTGGTCGTGATATGGTTGTGATTGAGACAGATGATGTGTAATACTATGATGGATTGTGATATGATTGTGATTGATGACATGTGCATATTCATTATTCATCCCATGTGTGAACTATCTGTTGCATGAGCTCTGAGACACTGATATGAGGATGGATGAATATGAGACACAGTTGAGACTAGCTCCGGCTAGAGATATATGAGATGGACTAGCTCCGGCTAGCGATTTAGATGCCGATGGGATCTGGTTCCGGCGGTGATACATGGTCCATGTGTGGCCCCCATGGGTTCTGATTTGAGTATTTAGCGCGGACTGATTACATCAACAGATGTGTATCGTAGGACAGACATGCATCACGACTACATGACATCATTATTGTATTTTGCATCACATTTGCCTTATCTTTGTCTGTGATGTGTGAATTGTATCGGTTTACCCTTCTTATGTGAAATTTGATCTACTTGCTTTTATTTGTTGATCTGAGGTTGATGAGGATATACTGTTGGTTCTGGCTATTGAATATGATCTGTTTAGTATAGGTTGGTTGGTTTGCTGCTAGATTGAAGTTTCGGTGGTTCGGTTGGGATTGAAAGGAATTGTTTGTAGCTGCTAGTTTTGCTTAGTTTAGAGTTACTTGCGAGTACCTGTGGTTTTCGGTACTCACCCTTGCTTCTACACAATTGTGTAGGTTGACAGCTCTCTCTCAGATTTGGCTTACTAGTTTCTTTAGCAGATTTAGCTTCGGGACATACTCGAGAGGTAGCGGTTCAATCCAGATGTGCCCTTGAGTTATCTTTACTTTCAGTTTTGTTCTATTCGAGAACTATACTCTGAGACTTGTATATTTTTATTCGAATTCTGTATTTAGAGGTTTGTACATGTGACAACCAAATTCTGGGTAGTGTTGAGTCTTAATTAAAGTCTTCCTCTTATTTATTATCTTTTATTCTCGTATTTCTACTTCTCTATCGTTGTGGTTGGGTTAGGCTGACGTGTCTGGTGGGAAATGGACACGTGCCATCACATCCGGATTTGGGGTGTGACAACTTATAAGAAATTAATAAGAGGAAATTGGGTTAAAAAATATTTTTATATATAAAGGGACTAAAATAGAGCAACCCTCAAACTTAATGGTTACCAATTGGGTAAAAAAACATATACTAGTATATTTGGAATTTTTTGGTACTGATTGAAAGAGAACCTATTTTATAAACTTTGTAAAATATTGAAAAAAGGATCAAACATATCTCTATTTTATATAGAGTTATTTTATTCTTCATTTGAAAAGTTTTCGACTCATAAATCTATCGTTAGTTAAATGGTCCAAATATGCAAATATTGGCTAACGACCCCCAATTCTCTTTTGGAAATTTTATTCTCCTTTTTAAAAAAGCACAACTAAATCAACTACTATTTAATTCCTCTCTTAATTTTTATTTGTTCGTCCATAATTGTTGATACATCTACGAATTAGAATCATTTGTTAAATTATATTTTTGACAGTTTTAAAGAACAGAGAGATACATTGGAAGATTTTTTGAATAATAAATACATCCATGATATTGATTTTCTCATCCTTATATTCATTGATACATGTTTGATGCAGTACTCCTTCATTTGTTGATATATATATATATATATTGTATTTTGAATGAGAAATACTATCGACACTTTGTATTTCTTATTCAAAATACATCGATGACATTACATTATTCGAAATTCAGTATATTTATTATTAAAAAATTCAGCAAATTTGGCCAAATTTTCTCTCTTGTATTCATTGATAAATCTACAAATCAGAAGTACTTGCTAATATGTCTTTTTTACTTTTTAAAATTTTGTGTAAGTCAAAATAAGACAAACAAATTGAAATAGATAAATTAAAGCACAATATATAAAATGAATTAATTAAGGAGAGTACATTTAATGAAGCCACACTTATTTATTTCATTATATAAAGTAAGAGTACATGGATACATTATAATCAACATACATGAACCCTAATTATTATTATTTTCACATGTGGCTGCTTAATTACTTCAATAATCCATTAATTAACCAACCACAGGCATTGATACAGCATAATCCAAGATGTTTACAGCAATACGAACTCGATTTCAACTAAAATCAGCTGTGACTGGAGAACCATTCAGTATTATCTGAACATCAATTATAAATGTATTTTCCTTCTCAATTATTCCCTTAGCATACTGTGCTGGTACACCAATAAGTTCTGGCCATCTTAGTTTTCCTACATATACACATAATTAATTATAATGAGAGAAAGAAAGAACAAGAATAATATACTTTATATCTGTTATAATAATAGCAAACATGGAGTTGATATTGAAGTGGGTAACCAGGACCTCTATCTGCTCTGATATCATATTGAAGTGTGTAACTATCTCATCTATTATTTTTTTGAAAATTGGGGATGGAGTAGGGGATGGACTTGAGCCGAAGGTCTTTCGAAAACAGTTTATCTACCTTCATGACTTAGTGTAATGACCCGGAAAGTGTCACGACCCAAAAATAGACGTGATGGCACTCGTCTTAACCCACCAAGACAAGGTAGCCTAAAACTCAACCATTACAATAAAATGCGGAAATTTTTATAATAAACTCAAATATACCCCCAAAATCTGGTTGTCACGTGTACAAGCCTCTAAAATATTACAATTGAATCAAAAGAAAAATACAAGTCTTATATGACATTGTTTCTAGAGTAGAACAAGATCATAAACAGGAGTAAGAAGGATCGTTGAGAAGACAACCAACTACCTCACAAATCTCCCAGAGGCCTCGAAAAAGAAGAGAATAACAAGTACCACAAAAATCCAGGCTCGTAACCTACAAAAATTTGTAGAAGCAAGGGGTGAGTACCAAACCACACGGTACTCAGCAAGTAAACCTCTAAACACGAGTTAAGGGGATATAATACAAGTACTCCTTACACCCCAACCGAACCTTCACAACTACAATCTATATAAAACCAGCCCAACCTAACAGTTCACAATTTACAAAGCACATAGCTCAACACAACACTCTAACAATTTCATATCCTCAACAGCAACAATAGTTTCATATCCTCAACAACAACACTCTAACAATTGCATACCTTCAACAATAAGCTCAATATTTATCAGTCACAAGTTCCATAGAAAGGCACTCACAAGATCAGCAACACACAAGATCAAGTTCACCAATAATAAAGAAGTGCAATGTAATGAAATGCAATGTCAAGTATAGTGATGCATGTCTGACCTAATGATACACACCCACTGTCTCTCAGTCCGGGACCCATGGGGGACATATCTGTCCATGCATCCATCGCGGCACGCGATACGACCCGCGATAATAGTAACCATCGCGGCGCGCGATACGTCCCTCGAAATATAGTATCTGTCGCGGCGCGCGACACGTCCCTCGAAATATAGTATCCATCGCGGCGCGCGATACGTCCCTCGAAATGATACATCCTCTTTATTTTCTTATTCTTTCTCAATGCATATAACACTTGTCAGAACCATATCTCAGAACAATGCAAATGACATGTTCACACAAATAATGAGGAGATGACCATTTTCATAACATTGCACAATTCACAACAAGACAATCAGGATACAACATCAACAATGATTCAACAAGCCTTTCAAACAACTCTCAACACATCACACAAACAATTGATCACATTGCCTTTTATTATCCCTTTTTCATCATTAGAATTAATCAATGTGGACAAGTCAACCCATCACCAAGCCTCATTACCCTAAACACATATTACAAGGAAATATATGAATTCCATACACTTAACAAGGGTTTAGAAATCCACTTGCCTGAAATAGTCGAACAATCACTCCGGGACTTGAACCTTCCCCTTTCGTTGAACTTCGAAATCAATTCGATCTATTCAAATAAATATTCACAATAAGTTTTCAAAACTAACAACACTCATATTACTATAGGTCTAGCCTAGATCCAAAAACTCACTCAAAATTATAATCAAGTTCTTAAATCTTGATGCCAATTAACATTTCAATTATCATATTTTCCAAGTTTCAAGTCTAGGGTTAAATCCAATTTTTTCAATATCATTATTCGAATGGTATTCATGTTATATAATATACTTAATACTTATTTATATGCACCCGATATTATATATAATAATTGAAGTTGCGACACGATGTTCATAAGAGATTTCCAACATGAAACTAAAAACACGGAAACTGTATCAATTCAGGTAAAAATCCTACACCCACCCTTCTATGAATTTGCTTAATAATTGGCTCATCATTGCGCCATAATTGATCCACTATCTATTGTATCCTAGACTCACAGAACAACACTAACAATGTTACAATATTTCTCTATAAAGAGTGAAAACTCAAAACTTACCAATATATTTTAGCATGTAGTTGTTTCATATACATCAGTCACTGTACACTAAGAAATAACTAAACAAAACAACAATTATAGACTAGTCTAAGTACATTGTCCATTTTTCTTTCATAACATTATTATATTAATATATGTATGTAGCATCCTAACTTCAATATAAATGGAAAGAGTTGGAACTGTATTAATTCTGACCTGGAGAAGTACGCCTCCCATTTTCCATTCGTCTGACGCCGCTGCGAGTAAGTCCTCGCCTATTCCCTTTTATCTCTTTTCTTTTCTAAATAAATTACTTTTGTACTAAAAAGTGACAAACCCTAATAGTTTATTTTAATAGGTATGAGTCAAATTGTATAGGTTCTTAAATGAATTTTCAGATTTGACCCATTTTTATAAATTACTAAATAAATACCCGCTAGTTAAATAACCATAGTTATTGAATAGTTTAAAATTCTCAAACCAACTTCACCGACTAATCATAAATGACTCAAAGCAACTATCGGGAGGGATAAAACAGTAATTTTTTTTTTTTTTGAAAGTTTTTCTAAAATGATCTTCCGGGTCATTACAGAAAGTCATTTTTAGAAAATATTTATCAAAATAACCATTTTAACCCTCCTGATAGTTGCTCCGAGTAATTTTTGATTAGTTGATAAAGTTGGTTTGAAAATTTTGAACTATTCGATAACTACGATTATTAAATTGACGGATATTTATTTAGTTAATTGATAATAATGGGCCAAATCTGAAAATTTTATTTAAAACCCATACCACTTGGTCCATAGTTATTAAAAAAAAAAGTCAGCGGGTTTCACATTCTAAGATCGCAATTTGAGAAAAGAAAGAGTAGAAAAAGACCTACGAGAGAGGAAGAGGGACGCATCACACGATTCAGGAAATTTTCAAGTGAGTTTCGAATTGTGTCTACTTATATTATTGTTGCATATAGGAATTAGTATTATAATATTATTGGGTTGAAAAATTAAGAGGTGAATTGCTGCAAAATTGAGTGAATTGGCAGTGCTTTTGTGACCGAGGATAATAACAAAATTGAATGACACAATCATTGCCAATGATAAGGCAATGATTGTCAGTGATAGTAGAATGAACTTGATTAACATTGGCAGTGATAGTTGAATGGAAGTAATATGGGTTAAAATATTATTTTGTTATTAGAGGTTACTCATTTCTATTGATTTCGGAGTTGCAAAGTTCTTCATGGTCATCACATTATGATCCATGTTCCAGTGTATTGGTGTGATGTACTTGAATTTTAGCGATACTATATTATATGAATATTATTAGATTTATGTTATTTAGAGAAATTGAGGTTAACCCTAGATTTGAAATTTGAAAATATGAGTTGACATGTTAATTGACATCAAGATTTAGGAACTTGATTATAAATTTGGGTGAATTTTTGGGTCAAGACTAAACACATAGTAATATGAGTGTTGTTAGTTTTGAAATCTTATTGTGGTTATTTATTTGAATAGATTGCTTTGAGTTGGAAGTTTAACGAAAGGGGAAGGCTCAAGTTCCGGAATGAATTTTTGATTGATTGAGGCAAGTGGATTTCTAAACCCTTGTTAAGTGTATGGAATTCGTGTATTTCCTTGTAATATGTGTTTGGGGGTAATGAGACTTGGTGATGGGTTGACTTGTCCACATTGATTAAGTCTAATGATGAAAAAAGGGTAATAAAAGGCAATGTGACTAATTGTTTGTGTGTGATGTGTTGAGAACGGTTTGAAAGGCTTGTTGAATCATAATTGATGTTGTATCATGATTGTGTTGTTGTGAATTGTGCAATGTTATGAAAATGGTCATCTCCTCATTATTTATGTGAACATGTCATTTGCATTGTTCTGAGACATGGTTGTGAAAAATGTTATGTGAATTGAGAAAGAATAAGAAATTAAAGAGGATGCACTATTTCAAGGGACGTGTCGCGCGCCGCGACTGATACTCTATTTCGAGGGACGTATCACGTGCCGCGATGGATACTATATATCGAGGGACGTATCACGCGCGGCGATGGATGCATGGACAGATGGGTCCCGAATTGAGAGGCATCAGGTGTGTATCACTAGGTCAGAAATGCATCATTATACTTGACATTGCACATATTTATCATTAGTAAACTTGATATTGTGTTTGCTGATCTTGTGAGTTCCTTTCTGTGGAACTTTGATTGATGAATATTGAGTTTGTTGTTGAGGATATGTAATTGTTAGAGTGTTGTTGTTGAGCTGTGTGCTATGTGAATTATGAACGGTTAGGTTGAGCTGGTAGTTGTGGAGGTTGTAATTGATGAATATTGAGTTTGTTGTTGAGGATATGTAATTGTTAGAGTGTTGTTGTTGAGCTGTGTGCTATGTGAATTATGAACGGTTAGGTTGAGCTGGTAGTTGTGGAGGTTGTAATTGATGAATATTGAGCTTGTTGTTGAAAACAGGTGATTGTTAGAATGTTGTTGTTGAGATATGTGCTTGTAAATTGTGAATTGTTAGGTTGGGCTGGTTTTATGCATGTTGTAGTTGTGGAGGTTCGGTTGGGGTGTAAGGAGTACCCGTATTCTATCCCCTTAGCTTGTGTTTAGAGG